CAGTGTGATCGCAGGAGACACGAAACTGCAGCTACGGAAATAAGGGTAAGTTAAAACGTGTAGGGGCAGGGACACACCTCGTTTTTTCTGGATAAGAAAGACGCGTGGTTACAAGTGTCAGATTCAACCTGTGTGGTCGTTTGTCTATGTTTAAGGATTTTTTTTTTCCCCTAGAAACTTTTCAGCATTGAAAACTGCATTATTTTCTTGCTGTAGCGCTGTTTTGGACCAGAACGATGCTAGATGTTAGTAGCCTCTGTTGTGACGATCAAACGCGCCTCCTTATAATGCCGATTTATTTTTGCGATGCTAGGAATGGGATCCTGGGTCTTCAACTTAAACGCTGTACTACTGACCTGATAATTGTGTTTTAAACAAGCAGTATGTGGGGAGGGAAACAAACGACCTTCTGCCGGACTGGGTTGGGCAGTCAGGGCATTTCAAAACGAATCATGAGAAACTCAGCCTAAGCATTAGAAATAGGCTTCATGTGATCTTTCTATATTCAGCAACTTAAGAAAAGAGGCCTGCTGCCTGACCACATCACACTTCCTGGTCTCTTTAGCAGTATAAATGTTAGCTGCCAACATCAGCCCTAGACTGAAGTAAGCCTGGTTTTTATGGGTTTTTTAATAAGCAAAATGAGAATAGAGTGAGTTGAAGGTTTGTGTGTTTAATGATTTGTCACTGAGTGCATATTTCTAAAGCTTCAAAATCCATCCCTCCAATTACTTTTGTGTGTGCACAGCTCATTTATGCCATGAGCATGCATCTGGAGGTCAGAGGACAACTTGCATGAATTAGTTTTCTCCTTCTGTTACGTGTGCCTTGGGGATCAAACTCAGGTTGTTAGGCTCGGCAGCAAATGCTCTACTCACCAAAACATCTCACTGCCCTGCCCCCCTCTTTGAACTTATTGGTGGGAATTTGGGGTGAGATTTTACTCTTTATTGAGTAATCAAGACTTTCATTGTGAAGAACTGATTATAAAGTCATTTTTAAAGTATGTGGGTAATTTATTAGTACTTTGTAGTATTTGAAGACAAAAACTAATAAAATTAATTTGCATAATTTTGTTGTTTGATAAAGGAGTATTGTGTAGCCCAGACGGACCTTGAACTCATTAGCTAAAGTTGTCTTCACCTCCGTAGTGTTGGGATTAGAGCTATGTCACCACACCACACCCATGTAATGTTTGTTTATGGTTAAAAATTACAGTGGTTACTTGGGTTGGTAAAACTGTCTTTCCACAATCCTCAGTATAGGTATTTGCTTTTTTTCTTTCATTCCTTAACCGACAAATCCGGACACTTGCTTTTAGAGACAGGCCAGAGTTTTGACTCTTGCTTTACAGTTAGTTAACTGTGAATGTGGGCTGCTTGTTGGTTCTCACTAAGCTTCAGTTCCTTATTCTATAAAGTGGTAATTCCTGGTAAGTTCTGTAGGTAGGTCTAACACAGTACCTGCCGCTTGCCACCTATTCAACTATGAAAATTATCCATGTCCTAATTAACTGTTACGTAGTATAAATTCAGCTATGAATGCTAGTAACATATTTTAATGAGATACAGTTCTTTCTGTAACACGATGACATAAGATTCAGATTCAGACATAAGAGACAGAGAATGTTATGATGATTCGATTAAGGTTGCACAGCTAAATGTTAGAAAAGCCAGGGTTTGAAAAGTGTCAGTCTTGCCAATGGGAACCTGATTTCTAACTGTTCTTGACTGGGTGGTCTTTTTTTGCTTGGAATATTTGTCAGAACAAGCCAAGTGATAGAAAGGGGACTAGTAAAATCTCATTATTGCATTGAATCACGAGTACAAAAACACCAAGATAAAACCACTGCCTTCAAATAATCATGAATAGTGCCTACTGATCTCAGTCAGAAGTACTTGAAGAGCAGTTACAGAGAGCAGGTACGTTTGAACTAAATCAGCATGAGGTTGGGGACACTGATTTAATTTTGAGTCTGCAGATGTATACTGCTTGACTTTGAATCCAGTGGAAAGTCACAGTCTTCATGTGGCACGTTTTTTAGGAAGCTCACAATCACGTAGGAAGATAGTGGCAAAAACCACCCAAAACACAAGTGGGATCCTTGGTGTTGTAAACTGAATGTGTATTCTTTAAAGTGAGTCTCAAGGTAGCTGATGAAAATTGTCATAAATGTTCACAGTCTTGGCCTTATGTACCTCAGGACACAATTGAAAAGCACTCCGCTGTACAGCATAGGAAAGTTGTAAGGTCTAAAAATACCCACATCTGATGCATTCTAGGAAGGACTCAAATGTGACAGGAGTTCATTTCGTGTTTTACTTACCAACTGACTTAGTCTTTTGTGTGAATTAGTAGGACAACTGGAGAAATGTATAAATAAGGTCATTGAAGAAATGTAGAGCATGGGGAGGTGTTAATATTTGGACTAAATTTGGTCTAAGAATTAAACACTAATTGTATCAGTTTCCCATAATGAGGTCAAAGACTGGCTGAATGAACAAGATTATTTGAAGGCAATGGTTTTATCTTGGTGTTTTTGTACTCAAAAAAAAAAAAAAAATCTAGCTTCATGTCTTGTAGGAGATACTTGCTAGTAAATATACTTCAAATAATTGTTTTGTATTGATTGATAGCTTGGAGTTAATTTCTGATAATGTTTTCCTTCCTAAGATCTTTATTTGCTGAATGTTAAAGATTTTATTTTATGCCTAATACTGTGTTGAGTGACTGTGTTTGTCATTTTAGGGTAAGATATTTGGAGTTCCTTTTAATTCATTGCCTCATTCAGTTGTTCCAGAATATGGACACATTCCAAGGTAAGCAGTCTTCAAAATGAAGAGAATATTTCACACGGGTTTTAAAAATAGTTTCAAAGGTTTCAAAAATACTTGATTGATGCATACATTTACTTAAAACCCCATTATTTCATTTCTGAACATTACCTATTATAAAAAATAAAAACATCGGGCTAATAAGATGACTTAGTGGGTAAAGGTGCTTGCAGCATAAGCCTGGTGCCAGCCCCATGTATAAAGGTAGAAGGCGAGAACCCAGCTTCACAGAATTGTTCTTTGGCCTCCACCATGGGTGCTGTGGTACACTCACTCACACATTCACATCATACACTTGCTGCTCTAACAGTTTAGAGTCTTAGATCCAGGAGTACTGACTGAAATTTGTTGTAATCTCTGGACTGCTGTAAGTAAACAAAAACAACAAAAACAGCTGGCTGTCATTTACCCTCCTCTAGGACTGACATTCGGGCACTCAGTGTCAGTACAGCTCTGTCATTTCGTGTAGCTGGCATACTTCCTAATTTTTTGGTGCCAGCTGTTGATTCTAATGTTAACATTGTTGAGATCAGTTTATAGGTAAAATTGAACCTTCACCCCTTAACATGAGAATGATTATAAGGACAGAGAAGGAGTCTACTTTTCCAAGAAAAAAATGTTAGAATGAGGAAAACTTGGTGTTTGTGGGGAAATGTAGGCTGATAGCTATGTAAAGCTATGCATACTGTACCAGGTCACCACCCATGGAGAGACCATGGGTAGAGAAGGCCTTGGGCCAGGCAGGCATGGTGGTGAATACTTGCAATCCCAACACTTGGCAGATGGAGACTGACAGTCAGTCACTCTGGCTACACAGCAAGTGTGAGGCCAGTCTAGGCACACAGAACTTTGTCTTCAAAAAAGACTTTGAACAAAGCCCAAAGTCATTCCACATGGAGACACTAAGTAGAAGAGGAGGAACTTAAAAGGAGCTTGAGAAAGAACAGTTTAGGGAGATAGCAAAAAAACTTGAGGAATGGTGAAAAGGACGTTTTTGATCAGGGGAGCGGTTGGATGTGTCATGTGTCGATGAGTTAAGCCTTACCAGGAGACAATGGATTGACAGTTGATTTGGTGAGACAAAGGGCATTGGTGTCCATGGAGTAGTGAGGATGAGTGTGTGCCGTCGAGGGTTAAGTAGAGGTGGGGATGTGATAAACAAGGCGAGTCTTGTGTTATGAAGAGAGGTAGAAAAGAATATGGATTTGATAGGACACATTTGTGTTAAACAGAGAAAGCCTGAAGTGTGTGAAGTCCTAATGAGTGTGCTGTTCACATGGGTACAATCATGTCAAGGACCCTATATGGAGAAATGGAAAACCTTCCTACAGGCTGAGGCTCAGAGGGAAATGGCAAAGCCTTCTTTGGGGGACTGAGGACAGGTGTTCACAGTGTGTTAAGAAAATGTCCACTATAGCCCTCCACCCCACCTGGAATGAAAACTGATGTTCTTCAAAAACTGCTCCTCTGGAGAGTAGCTAAACTTGCCTCCTTGATCCAGCTGTATACTGTAAATCCTGCCTTTTTGTTTATCTGTGTGTAGTAACCCTGTATGCTTGTTCAGCAGTATGCAATAACCTCACCTCCCTGTTCGGGTCTATATAATAAACACACTGAGCATGAGCAGGGGGCTAGTCCACCTGACCCCAGCTCTTTGTGTCTGTCTTTTCTTCATTCTTTTGCCACCCTTTGTCAGTTCTTCCTGGAGCTTTGCTGGTGTGGCACACATTGATGCTGCCCTGAGTAAAGCTATAGACCTTAGAGAAACAGTTAGAAGCAAGGAGAAGAACAAGTAAATATTTTGTTGCAAGGATCGAGCGGATTTTGGCATTAGAACAGGCTGCTTATGTATTTGCCAGTAAAATGAGGTTATTGAGGTGTGTATCTGGACCCTTGAAAGAACATGACTTCTCTTTCAGCTTTCTTGTTGATGCATGCACATCTTTGGAAGAGCATATTCATACAGAAGGGCTTTTTAGGAAGTCAGGATCTGTTATCCGTCTAAAGGCACTAAAGGTAAGCATAGTCTTTACTTTTTCACTAGTATTGTTCCTGATTTGATTTTTACAGTTGAATTATTTTTCTAAAAGCAATTGTAAGTTATTTACATACTGCTTTTAAAATACAGCATGCTTTCAAATTGTGCTCTTCATTTTTGTGCTATATGGAAAGAAAACCTAGCTTTATTATTTTTAGCCTTTTAGAAAGGACTAGTATTTTAAACAAGGTTTGGGAGAACCTTTTTAATTAGATATGATAACCATTACTGTATTTAATATACTTGCGCTTCTAGAATGCTCAAGATTCCTGTGTCTTTCCAGAGTAAACTGGACCATGGTGAAGCCTGCCTGTCTTCTGCACTTCCCTGTGATGTTGCAGGTCTACTTAAGCAGTTCTTCCGGGAACTGCCAGAGCCTGTGCTCCCGGCTGATCTGCATGAAGCTCTGTTCAAAGCACAACAGTTAGGGGCAGAGGAGAAGAATCAAGCTACATTGTTGCTGTCCTGTCTGGTGGCCAATCCTACAGCTGATATATTAAGATACTTCTTTAACTTTCTCAAGAATGTTTCTCTTAGGTAAGTGGTAATTAATTAAAAGCCTTGAGAAAGAGCTACCTAAGATGTTCAGCTACCTAAAGATGTTCCTAGTAGTTAATAAATTTAATTTGGAGTGAAAAAAAATTTAATGAGTCTTTACTATAGGAAATATACCCTGTGTAATTTAAGAAATAGTATACCAACTGATTTAATACTTTACATCATTAGATTCTTGATTAGGGATGCCTTAAGGGCTTATTGGTATTTACAAGATTCAGTGTCCACTGGATGGATTTTGGTTGCTGTGGTTTTAAAGCCTTTGAATTGTGTGTCTTAATTTTCCTCTTCCTGCTGTCAGTGAACCCACTTGTTTTGTTTATAATTGATACTGCCTTCTTTGCTTCATTTTCTATGTGTGGCTCTAAAAAGCAGGTAAACAAACATAGTCTGAAAGGACAAAGTGTGAACTGATTAGTGTGGCATATTTAAACCTATGAGACCATATATTTTAGGTTCTTGTGTTCTTTCATTTTGTGGTGCTAAGGTTGGAACTCAGGCCTTCTGCCTAGTAGACACTCTATGGAGAAGCCATACTTAGTGCTCTCCCGCCTTTCCTTTGTCCTTCCTTCTGCAGCCCTTATGTGGGTGGTAGGTGAGGGCTGTTTTACATACAGGTGACAGCTGAAGTAAATGTACTCAGTATGTTAGTTTAACTTCCTGTAGTTCTACCCTTTTGTCATTAATAAAACCTTTTGTCATCAGGGCGAGTGAGAATAAAATGGACAGCAGCAATCTTGCAGTAATATTTGCACCGAATCTTCTTCAGACAAGTGAAGGCCATGAGAAGATGTCTGCTAACACGGAGAAAAAGCTACGATTGCAGGCAGCAGTAGTACAGACTCTTATTGATTGTGCATCGGATATTGGTAAGAGGTAGTTGCATTGTCAAATAGTAGGATTTATTTAAATGAGGGAGATCCTGGCTTCCAACTGAAGACAGCTGTTAGAAAGGGATTACATTATTACCTATACTTTGGGATGGGAAGGGAGGAAGGAAGAAATGATTGTCTTATGAACATTTCCATTTAGGACGTGTGCCAGATTTTATTCTGGAAAAGATACCAGCCATGTTAGGTATTGATGGTCTCTGTACTACTCCATCCCTGGAAGGCTTTGAAGAAGGAGAATATGAAACTCCTGGTGAATGTAAGAGAAAAAGAAGACAAAGTGTTGGAGGTAATAGATGGTCTCATTTTAGGGTGGTACCCAGATTGTATCTAAAATGCAAACGTCAGCATTAGTTGTGGTATGTGTCTTTTGGATGCCTAGTTGGAGAAATGAAACACGGGCATATTAGAAGTTCAAATGATAATACAACCTAATAGTAAGTGCTTAAATCTTTAACAGAAGAGTCCTTGGACTCTAATCACCAGGGACTTGTCAAAGAGGAAGTCAAACTAAGCCTTATTTATTGTGCTGGGAATTGAATCTAGGGCTCCATATAGGTTAGGCAAGCACTGAGCCTCTGAACTGTATCCTCAGCCCTCAACCTGGGTCTACTTGAAGGATGGATAGAATACAGAGAAATTGAGTGACAGAGCAGAAAACTTACATTCTGTACTAGCTGAGAAATGTAGAACAGACACAAGTCTATCCTAGGAACAGATCAGTGTGCTTTGAGTGATGTGTTCTCTGTGTGTATTTAATGGTATAATGTGGAACTAGAGGCCAGGCCAAAGACAGACTGATACCTGGGTACTGGCTAAATGTTGGAGGGTTATAATTTGAGGTAGACATTATTGAAGTATGTTGTAAATTTCTCTGATTTGAAGAACTGCCACCTGGAGGTAGAATGGTAAGAGGTATGGCAACAACACAGGTGCCAGATCTTTGAAGAACTTAGTTGTGAATGAGGAGTGGAGTCAGTAGTGAAGGAAATGCTACTGAAGAAGATTCAAAATGAACCAAAGTTCTGTTGTGATAGTAGTTCCTGGCTCCTCTGGGTCAGGAAGGGCGAGGCCATCCCTTTTCCTTGGGAGACTTCCCCCAGTGTTGTGCACACGTGCATGGGTAATTATGGGGACATCAGGACAACCTTGGAAGTCAGTCCTGCTTTCTCCCTGTTTTGAGACGGGCTCTCCTGTTGACTGCTGTGCACTCTAGGTTAGCTGTGCTGTCCCACGAGCCTCCAGGGACTCCGCTATCTCTGCCTCCCAGTCTCCCCAAAGGAGTACTGAGACTATAGATACTGTATACGACCATACCTAGCTTTAACAGGGGCTCTGGGGATTTGAACTTAGGTCCTCACACTTACACAGTAAGCACTTTATCTACTGAGCCATTTCCTCACCTGATTTCTTTCCTTTTGGAGTATCATTGCTTTTGGAATATTTTGGCTTAATTATTGCTTTCTTATATTCTTTCTTTGCTACTTTTGTAGGTTCCTTTTATTACTTCTCTTTTATTTTCATGGGACTACTGTGTCTCAGCAGGACACAATTTCAAAGGACACAAATTGGATGGCTTAGAAATCACAGTTCTAGAGGCCAGTCTATAGTGTCAGCTGCACTGTGAAATCTGTAGGGTAGATTGTTTTCTTTCCTCTTCTTGGCTTCTAGAACACAGTTCTATATAAAACTTCCTGGCACAAATGTAAATATTTCTTAGACATGGGTCATCTTTATTATTGGTATAAGGCAGATTATATTAATTTTAATTGCTTATGTAACTGTATATACCTTGCATTTCAGATTTTGTTAATGGAGCACTAAATAGACTTAAATCTAGCAGAACACCTTCTGTTACACCTCAACAAGATAGAGCTGGTAGGTGTTCATTATATATAAACATTTAAATAAAAATGTCTTTAGTGCTGTGTAAAAACAATTATAATAATTGCCTAATTTAATTATCAAATCTCAGTACTAATTTCCTTA